AATTTTAGGTAAAGTGTTGTTTATTATTTCAATTACAATGGTTCTAGAGACGAGCAACAGCTTTGACCCAGGGACTGATGTTGAGTGCAGTAACTACTGTAGCCACTGGAATTAAAAACTCAACTTAGCTATGCTGAGAGCAGTCATTTTTCACGAACATATGCTGTGAGCATTGTTAGGATTTACCTACCACTAAATCTTCACAGCTTGCCGTAGATGGATTTCTGCCAGTCATCTGTAGATACATATCCTCTGTAGTTACTGCTTGCTTGAACACCATTTCATACCTACAAAGTTGCAGTGAGAAATTGCATAAATTCAAACTGAATGGATTTTTCAAAGTTTATCACAGATCCCTGATGGACCATGATTTGGCTGTTGCATTTTATCAGTACAAATGAGTTGTTTTGTCCGTGCCACAAAAACACATTGCCTAGTGTGTCCCAAGCTTAACAGAACAATGTACGTAATAAAACTAGAGGTTACAAATTGTAAGCATGATGCTGTGAGCAGGTGCTGGGTAGTAAAACATCACCTGAGAGATGATGAACTGGCAACACCCTATTATAAGGTCAATAGTTGTCAGTGGGATAAAGTACCACAACGGTGTGCTAAAATCAAGAGTTATTTGTGATTTAAGTCTTTATTGGCCAGTTTACTTACTCTGGAGCTGGTCTTGGGTCAAATTCATCCTCACCATGACCTCCCTCTGGTATCTCTGCTTCACTCCAAATATCCCTGCTTTTCGTTGCTTCCTTTGACTCTGGAAGGCATCCTAAGTATCCAGTTCAATAATTATTGACATTCATTTTCGACAAAGCTTGAGGTCAATGTAGCTGGATAAATTTTAATGGAATGAGAGGAAGTTGCAAGATAAATATGAGTAAAACACCCAACCATCTAACCCACACCAGATTTATAAAATCTACAGAATTTTTTCTTGCAGGAACAAAGACAACACCTATCTTGCCAGTGATAACAGAGGCAATGTGAGGCAGCGTGGATGAGCAGTTGGAGTGTAGGTGGACCCAAGTTCAAGTCCTGCCCTGACCCTTAGATAATTCAGTTTTGATGTTGATGTCCGAAGATTAACTCCTCGGCCACTCTTGTCAAGAGCCAACAGGTTGGACTCCAGTCAGTTGGAATTCTTAAACTCTGTTTCGTTATTTAAAAGGGGAGAGGATTAATATAACTATAATTTTTCAATATTTGTAAATGACCTTATATCCTAAAAGCAAGCTTTCACCCTCAGTGATTGGAGGAGAGTTTGGTGGTGAGAGGTTTGGTCATGCCTGAAAATTGTTTTGGAGCCAATGGGATGAGAGAATGATATTTATTCCTTGCAGGATCCTGTGAGAGAAAGACAGGCCCATTGCCTGCTTGGAGAGCTGAATCAGATTAACAAAAACAACAACAACAACGTGCATCTACCAAAGCCAAAACCAAAGAGCCTGCCATACAATAAAGACTGCAAGAAGTATTTATCAGAGAGGGTAAGAGCTGCCCCGGCGTGCTTGTAGGCTCGAATGTTCTTATTGTTCTGTTTTACTTTGTTGCTTTTTCTTTACCTAATTATTTAAATCAATGTGGTGCGTATGTCATTGATCACTAAACAAAACTTCATATTATAACGACCTCGGTACTGATTAAGTCTTTATCTTTGCCATCAACACTTCTTTCTCGCATCCACATTCTAAATAGAAGCATTTCCGTATAGTCCCATAGATCTATTAAGCTTATGCATGCAGCAATCTCGTACTATTTCTCCACACAAACAGTTATTAATATAAAAAGAGTCGAGAGTTGTATGCATAATAAATATGATGGGCTAAGCGGAAATCTTTCCAGGCGGACTTTTACAATCGTCATTCATCTAAGGAAAACATTTTGTCACTGCTTATAAGATTCTCACCAGGTTTTTCTATCTTTTTCGGCGGGCCTATGCTTCCCGGGTTCGCCGTAGCAACGAGTTTCTTTCCTGGCTTTTTTTCGTCCTGCGATCAAGGATAACAAATAAGACTTTTAGATTTCATCCAGGCTCAAAGAAAAAGTTTAAGCAGTATTTTTCTATCTTACATCAGAGCTATCGTCGTCCTCTTCTGGTGATTTTAACAGTTCGGAAAGTGCTGCAATCCCACTCGGGTCGAACGCCATATTGTTTGCGTTGGTAACCTGGCCTTATTTTAAAAG